AGCTGGGTATTTGCAATATTCTTTTCCTTCTCCTAGGGGTTAATTAGCCTTCTTTCAAAATGTGGCCTATTTAGCTGTGGATTCACATGATTCAGCCAGAGTTGGCTGTACAAAGAACCGTTAACAGGCGGGTGTGTCCAACTGCTTAATTAGCCAGAATAAAAAGGTCCTTTGTCAAACAAGCATCTGTTGCTCTTGACACACCTGACAGGCACATTAGGCAAGGAAGACTAAACCGAAATTGTGCTTGTCTTCCCTGCAAGAATATACACCTCATTTACATATGGGCTGCGTCATGGACCAACTGCAGCGGTTTATTTAGCTTATCAGAATGGATTAATGTGACTGCATTTGTGGCTGATAAACAAATATCACTTGAAAGGGGGCTGTGAAGGAACTAAACTAACCGCATGACTCCCAAACGTAAACAGAACACAGAAACCACTGCTAGATGAATAGGGACACCTCCAATGTACACATTAGCCTTATGTTGGGTCTAAAACAAAACCTCCAAATGAAGCCTGCTCAGACACTACCCTCCATGACGATTCTTGGTTTGCTGAAATGTTGGAAAGCTACCAGAATACTCTGAATGCGTCAGTGGGTTTAAATGATCTGTTTAGCAAAATTTGGCAGGAGGGTTATACTCCTCGAACATGCTTTAACATTCTAATTGATCTGCTGTGAAGTCAGGTCTTCAGAATTAATCTGTTAGAATGCCTCTGGAAAAATACTTACTAGTTAGGCTTTATTATGGCCACAGCAGAAAGAGAGAATACTTCCCGATTTCGATGTTGGAGAGAGAAGGGATGTCTGTCTCTCCATTGTTATTGGAAGTGTTGATGAAATACAGTGAGTTGAGAATCCCAAAGATTTTGCTGTTCAGACCAATAACAGTCTCTAGCTTTTCATTTGGAAGCCCCATCATCATGAAATTGCAAAGTAATATACAAAGGGTGACATCGTGGGCTTTGGAGTCAGATAAACCTAGGTTCAAAATCAGGCTCTTCCCCTTACTAGTTGTATGGCTTTCAGCAACTTATTGAATACATTTGTGCCTCGGTTTCCTTATTTTTGAAGTGGAAATAAGAACCCTTCCGTTATGGGACTCCTGTGAGGATTAAATGAGATGTATTTGAAGCAGTTAGCATAATGCGTGGCACCTGGGAAATACTTGTTAGCTGAGAGACCTAAAGATGCTCTTGAGTTTTTGAGCCAACCTCTGCCAGGGATGTGATCAAGACCATCTCAAGCCATGAGACGTTGGCAAAGAAAGCCTCTTCCTCAAAACCGAGGAAGACAGTGAAATTAAAGGAGAATGAAGTTGTGTCTTTCATGGAAAGATGGAGAGACTAAGTCCTTATCAGTTGCCAGGAACCTACAGTCCAAGAGCCAGTGAGACGGGATGAGGTACAGCAACTGGGGAGTAAACAGAAGGTGTTCTGGGGTGGCTCTTTGTTGTCCTGGATTGGGCTTGATGTTCCAGTTTTGACGTGGCGTATGTGTGGAGCCAGAGGCTGGATGGAAAGCTCACCATGACTTTCTACGTCTAAGTTATAAAGCCATCATTTTCTATCCATCTTTTTTCCCCAGTCTATTCCGCAAAGGTTGCTCCTAGAAAGTAGTTGGGACCTTTTTCCTTCTTTCTTATCCTGAAAATCTCCCCACTTTGCGGTTTTTTTTTCTTTTACTCTCTTCACTTCTATCTGTGCAATGTCTATTATGAAATTCAGGACTCCCCACTTGGTCTAGTCGTTTAGTGTGTGAGCTTTAGTGGTATGTCCAAACCCTCCTTTTCTACCTCCAGCTGTTTGACCTTGGTTATGTGACTTAACATCTCTGAGTCTCCCTGTGACTCATCTGTAAAATGCGGGCAATAATAGTTCCAGTCATCTGGTTACACATTTCTATTGGTAAAGTGGTCAGACCTGGAGATTTCTATATAAAAGAAGTGAATGAGTATAAATATTATTAAGATGATCTCAAACCCAAAAAATAATTTTCCATTTTCAATCTGGATTGGTAAGACTGAATTTCTGGTTACTCCAGAAAGTGTGAAGAACTCAAATGCCTATAGAGGCCAGGCAAGGGAAGAAGTATTTGCATTTAAATAATTTACCTATAAAACATATAATATAGGCTCACCTATTCTAAATTTTCACATTTTTTGTAAGTATCTAGAAATTTGTTTTATAACACAAATTTCTGATTTTTAAATGTTGGCAATTAAGAATTTTAATTTGTAGTCTCTCTGAGCTGAAGCCTATCTGTGGGAGTCTGATATAGTCCTTGAGAAGCTAGTCTTCATGTCTATGCCCTTTATCTCCTGATAAGCTTTCTCATGTGGTTTCTTGAGAATTCATAGGAATTGCTTAAAAAATATATTTAATCTTTAAAGAGACCTGTATTCTTTTTATTGTTGGATATGTTAGGTCTAAAACAGTAGATGTCAAGGTTGGGTCATATACTAAAATGGGTGTGTGCAATGTATGGACACATGAGGAAAGCCTTGAGAAAAGTCCCAGCCAGCACTGGGAGAAGTAGGAGGGATTTTTGGGTGAGTGAGTTCACTCTAAGAAACACCCACCCTCAATTGGCCATTATTGGCAACTCTGTTTTTCATTTGTATACTAAACAGAATGAGGCCTCCACCTAGGTTGGAATTAGAAGCTAAGCAAACCTCACTAAAGATGGTAAGCAACATCTGATTTCTTCCCCATTCTCTGCAGAAAGATGTCCCCTGTCACTAACAACCCTCTGCCATAGCACAGAAGGCATTGGTGGTCTGTAAGCATGGACTGAATCAAAGGACATTGGCTTTTGCTTTCCCTTTTGGGGGTATTTTTTCTCCCTCTGTGACGGAATAAAGGGAGAGATACACATAGGATTCCTAATGTGTATCCCTTCCCCAAATTTTGAGAACCAGGGGTCGTCTAGTCATCTTAATTAGGCAACAACTTTATGTAGTGAATACTGTCATTCTCCAATAATTTCAGGCATACCCATGGTCTTAATGCTGGCCCAAAGGGATGTGAGTGTGTTTGTGTGTGCGTGTGGGTGTGCATGTGCGTGTATGTTTGCTTGGAGATTAATACAACACTTTTAAAAATGAGCCACCATTTGGGAGATTTCACATAAAAATCTGAACTTTCAGCTTCTTTTGGGTAATTGGGAGACTTCCCACAAATTGTCAACTTCTTGGACTTGAGCCTTAATAGTTGACCCAAGTAAATGAGGTGGTAGCCACAGTCTGATTCACTTTGCTTTTGTTTTTTAAGCTCCTAACCACCTTCACTCTATATGCGTGAGGTCCCTCATCTGTAAATGGAGATTATAATCCTACCAATCATACCTGGGTGTTACAGGGATTAATTTACTTATAAATTAACATGTGGAGCATTAGAAAGGGTCCGTAACATATATTGGGCATTTAATCAGTGTTAGCCGTCATTGCTGTATCTTTTGCACTTGGTAAGGTTTATTGTGCTGATTGAGGGCTTTGACTAACAAAAGAATAAGCAAATCACCTAAAGAGATGCCAGTGTCAAGGTCTAGAAAAGAAAAATAATCACAGATTCAAAGCAAAAAGGCCTAGCCTCACATCTGTTCCTGTCACCTTGAGCGAGTCTCTTAACCTTTCTGGTTTTTCGTTTCCTCGTTTATGAAATAAGAAGAGTAGATTAGATGTCTTCAGAGGTCCGTTTCTAAAATTGAATGGGATGAGAGAAAAGGTCTGGGGAAACCTTGGAAGAGGGCACACTGTGACAAAAGATGGCAAGGGGCTTAATTTCCACTTGTAAGAACTGGATACTGTTTTCAAATTTTCTTAGGGAAAATTACTGTTTGCCCCACTGTTCACAGATTTAAACCACAGTGCAGTATTCTTCTTAACCTATGAGTTAAATATTGTTTTCCTGAGCCCCCAGGAAAGAAAATTAGAATTCTGGTCCCTGCTCAATGGTCTTAGACACCATACCTCTTACATTACACGTTGCAAAATCTAACCTGTGTAGATAGATCAGGCACATACGAACTTAAAAAACATGCCACGTTGAACTACGAAAGAGAGAAGGTAAACTTTTGTGTCTGTCTTACCAGTCTCATTTACATAATAGACGCCCTCCCCATGTCCAAAACACTAAATGTTGTTGACGATTGGCTAGGTTGATTTCCGTACAGTATACCACAGGCAGAGCGAATTAGTGAGCTTGATCCCATGGTTAAGCTTTTGGATATACATGATTATTATTCTTTTTTAGATCACTGCACAGTAAGTTTGAAAGTAGGAAAGGATGTTAGAAATAATTTATTCTGAATTGTATACCTTCGGTGACATCCCAATGGCCTCTAAAAGTATCTAGAAAATAAAATTTTATGACATATATGCATCCAGCTAGTGTTTATGTTGTGAAAATTGAGTATCCTGCAATAATTTTGGTCTACAGTTTAAGTGAAACAATTTATAACAGATGAAACCTAAGGAAGGTACATTTCAATGAAATTCAACTTTTATAGCCTCAAAATAAGAAGTGTTAGTGGGGATTTTTTAAAAAAAATATGAATTGGTAATTTTCTGTATTGACTTAAAAAGTGATCGGAATGACTATAAATCTGCCTAGAATATCAGTATGTTGTGTAAGAACGGTATGTTGGGGTATGAAGTACTCTGAGAGTTGAAAGTTACTCTGAGTATAGGTTTTTTTCCCTAATGTTTATTTTTGAGAGAGAAAGAGAGACAGAACATGAGCAGGGGAGGGACAGAGAGAGAGGGAGACACAGAATCCAAAGCAGGCTCCAGGATCTGAGCTGTCAGCACAGAGCCCGACGCGGGGTTCGAACTCGTGAACCACTAGACCATGCCCTGAGCCACAGTCGGAAGCTCAAGGGACTGAGCCGCCCAGGCACCCCTAAGTAATAGGAATTTTAGAACAAATGTAATGTAGCTAGTCATGCAAGGAGAGCACTTACCGCTTTACTTCTGTTCTGATACTGTATTTCAGAGACCATCATGCAGACATCAGAGACCGGGTCGGACACAGGGTCGACAGTGACTTTACAGACATCCGTGGCTAGTCAAGCGGCAGTGCCGACGCAGGTGGTACAGCAGGTGCCGGTGCAGCAACAGGTAAGGAGCTGCCGGGCGCGGAGCAAGTGCCGCGCCTTCGCTTGTGGTGACTGTCCCACGCATCTGTGTCCACAGGGGACTTAGACCACAGTTTCTGGCCCTGTGGGTGCTAAGACTGAGGCGGTTCCGGTCTCAGGTTCATTCGGCAAATATTTCTTAAGCCTTTCTTGGATGTGGCAGATTCTTTCAGTGCGGGGCTCTAGGGATACAAGGGAAAGGAGTGAAACTACATAAATCCTTATTCTGAAAGAGCCTCTTAACTCAAAAAGAAGACATCGGTTTCTGACTTGCCCCTCCTCCCTCTCTTCTCTGTCTCTGACTCTTTATCACAACACCCTATTTCTTTCATATTGAAATCTCAGCGATCATAGTTTCATATAATCGGCTCACAGTAAGGGGTACTTAGTGGAGGGGTTGCCTGTATCTCGCAGGCAAGGATTTCACCTTTGTGATGTTTTAGGAAAGGTCTGAGTATTACGGTGACTGAAAAAATACTGCTGAATGAAAATGAAATGATCTTAAAAGTCTGGAGATCTGACTCATCCCATGTAAAGAATTGGGAATGAATTCATTGTCAGACGTTTACTATAGAGCTTATTCATAGTCAGGACACTTGGCTTGTTTTGGGAAGATACTGTCGAGATCATGCTATTCATGCTGGTTAATAGTTCTGTAGTGTGGATTGTGAACACCTCGGCCTGTCATTTCTTCCAAAGAGTAGTGAGAAATTAAATGAAAAAGAGCACATCAAGCACTCTCTTGAGACTTGAGATTTGCCTGTAATTTCTTAGTATCAAGGAGAACCTTTAGCAAATGTTGCTCTTACAATTATAAAAAGGTAGCTAGGGAAAGGGATATCTTTTCCTAAATGATAGATTAAGGTTAAATTCTTTTCAGGAGCTAGATGCGGGATGGGCAGGTAGAGTGCTGGCACCAGAGAGAAACTTTCTGAAGATTTTCCTGAGGGCGTCTGGGTGGCTCAGTCAGTGAAGCATTTGACTTCAGCTCAGGTCATGATCTTGCAGTTTATGAGTTTGAGCCCCGCGTTGGTCTCTGTGCTGACAGCCTGGAGCCTGCTTTCAGATTCTGTGTCTCCCTCTCTCTCTACCCCTCCCCAACTCTCTCTCTCTCTCTCAAAAATAAACTAACATTAAAAAAATTTTTTAAAAAGAAAATGTTTAAAAAAATTTCCCTGTGTGTTTCTTTTTATAACATCATGTTGTAGTTCCTGATTTATATCGTATCTTTTTATTTCTCTCTGAAGTTATTAGTTTTTTAAAACTTGTTGAAAGTTTTTTCTTTATAGAATCTGTTTCCTTCAAGGTACATTGTTTTTTGTTTGGTGGTTTGTTTTTGTCTCTTGTCTTTTAGTTTTGAAGTCTTTCTCAGATGTCTGATAATCTTTGGGTGTTTTTCCATATTTAAAAGCATGAGGATAAACAGCTGATTTGGATGCATGAGTGGGTCTTGTTAACTTCAGTATACAGGGTCATTTGACCAGCTTTTTAACTGGGGACCCTCTGGTGTTCTGGATCTTTGTTTTTCCTCTTGGGTTGTCGTATTTTTAAAGAAGACTTCTCCAGCTTCCTGCCTGGAGCATGAATGGCTGCCTGAAAGCTGGGTAGGGGAAGAGACTTGGATATTTCTTTCCCCAGTTCGCTTAATCCTTCTTCTCACACAGTATCACCTGCGGTTGGTCTGCCTCAGTGCGGAGATTAAGCCAAAGTATAAATCTCCAAACTTTCACCAAAGTAGTCACCCAACTCACTGCTTGTGGTTGGGGGAGGGACTCTGATTGCTGCTTAAATAGAATCACTTTTTATGTCAAATACATACCTTCACCAGCAAACATTGCAGGATGCCTGGGTGGCTCAGCCAGGTAAGCATCGGACTCTTGGTTTCAGCTCAGGTCATGATCTTGGGGTTTGTGAGATCAAGCCCCATGTCGGGCTCCAAGCTGACATTGCAGAGCCTGCGCGGGATTCTCTCTCTCCCCTATCTGTGCCCCCTCACCTGCTCTTTCTCTGTCTCTCTCTCTCTCTCTCTCAAAATAAATAAGCTTAAAAAAAAAAAACTGCTACCAGAAGTGGAAAATCAGTATCACCATCCACAAATAGAAGATCATAGGTATGCACACATAACCTTGTTCGTGTCCTCATAAATAATAGTGTCATGTACACGTGGGACCACCCTCTGGAACACATTGTCCTGGCCCATATGGCTAGGAAGGAGCCATAGTTTGCAGTTCCTCAAATTAGCTCTTTCCTCTAGAACATTCCCAGCAGGTGATACTTTACATCCCCTTACACCAAGCAAAGAAGGTGAGAACTCTCGTTTTCTTTTTGTCAACAAAGTGTTTTATTTCACATAGTGGGTTAGTGTGATATTTGCCCATAGTTACCTGTTATCTAGTCCTTGTGGGCGTATTCCGAAGGAATTTTTTCTCCTCTGTCATTTTTTTTTTAAACTACAAAAGTGTCACATTAAAAAATTTTTTTAAATATTTTTTTTGAGAGAGAGAGACACACACAGAGTGCTAGCAGGAGAGGAACAGAGAGAGAGGGAGACACGGGATCTGAAGCAGCTCCAGGCTCTGAACTGTCAGCACAGAGCCTGATGCAGGGCTCCAACCCATGAATGTGAGATCATGACTTGAGCCAAAGTTGGCACTTAACCAACTCAGCCACTCAGGTGCCCCTGGAAAAGTGTCAGATTTGAGGCTTCTTAGTGCATTCTAACAGTGTCCCTGTGGATATATTTTCTACCAGCTGCTAAGATTACTGCTATAGTAATTTCCCGCTGCTCTTAACTTGTGTGTAATCTTTGCATTGTTAATGTGCTCATGTCATCCTTGAGTCTTCAAACCATGGTGGGATACCTTTAAAAGCTTCTAGCCTTTGTCACTGACCCATGATGGATGTTGAAATCATAACATCGATGTCAAAAGTAGTTACTTCCATTGTTTCACTTTATTTATTTATTTAGTTTTTATTTGAGAAAGAGAGAGAGTGCGTGAGCAGAGGAGTGGTAGAGGGTGTGGGAGAGAGAATCTTAAGCATGCTCTATGCTGAGTGTGGAGCCCAATTCAGGGCTTGATCTCACAACTCTGGGATCATGACCTGAGCCAAAATCAAGAGTTGGGCACTAAACTGACTGAGCCTTTCAGGCACCCTACATTAATTCAACTTTTACTGTGTCTTTGTTTTGGCCACTTTGATATGAAGAAAAGGTCTATAGCTAAAAATTTTTTGAGGTCTAGGCATATAATATTCTATTTATTAGAAAGATGAGACACCAGAAAATTTTAAGGTCTAATAATTAGTTCTGTTTCTTCAAAGCACTGAGGTTCTAATTTCAGTGTGTAATAAGTACCAAGTAAAATGTTGATTCTAAAATTACTTCTGTGGTTTTTCATTTATTCTGTATGATCTCAAGAATCAACTTTCCACCTTTCCTTAGACAGTCTGGTTCAGGAATAGAGAATTCTGAGCAATGACTACATGGTCTTGTTATATAATGCTTTGTCAGATTTCCTGTCTATAATTTTTCAGCATTTTATAAAACACCATAGAGTCTCAAGCTTCCAAATATGGACATTGTTGCCCAATTCAGTAGAATCTCTAAAATTATTCAAATTCAGGATCTTGATTAGATAATGAAATTTTGATATTACTCGCCCTGTCGTCTTTATAGAAAGACTTTTTGGACCAATGGTCTGTACACACCATGGCTAGAAATGAGTTGTTCCCCCCACCCTCTCCTGCCTTGAATGATTTGTCAGAGTTTCTTGTAGATTATTCTTCCATTTGGCCATTAGACCCCTAAATCTGAGATGTCTTTGTCTTTGACTCTACCTGCTGTAGAACTGAATAAAAAATCCAGGAGAAGGAGGAAGGAAAATGTCTCCCACTCTTCAGTTCCCTCTCACAGCCAGCCAGTTCAGATGCTTTTCAGAGCAGAACTGAGACAGAAGTCCAAACATTTACTCCTTGTTGTAATTTGGGGCTTCGGGCATATTCCACAATGGCGCTGACAGGGATGATAGTCCCTAAACCTCTCTGAACCAGGGCTCTCAGACTTTTTCTCCCTTTCATGTTTCCCCATTTTAACTGCCCTTCCGACTACAGTTCTTACTCTGTCTACGATCTCTGCCCATCTTCCTCTTTCCTTAGAAAAAAGTCCACATCTTTTCTGTCAAAGTGGGTAAGTGTGTTGCCGTTGTACTGCTTTTTGTAAACATAGCATCCAAGGTACAGTGGAGCCCTGGGGTCCAGGGGCTTCTATTTGAATTCAAAGAAAAAAAATCTTTTGTCAAATTCACTGTCAACAATGTTTAAGTTCTCTTATTATTCAGAGACTGCCGTCTTTCCCTGTTCTGCCAGGGACTCTGTTTCTTTCTAGAGGGTCTTTGGAATATAACTGGGACATTGAAACCTCTTTTTATGTGATAGATAGAAACTCATTTCAAGATTATATTCATATAAGAATCTCTGTTTTTATAGAAATCATTTATCTGGGCAGTGACCCTTGTTTATAATTTGAGTTATCAAAATTAATCAAAAAGCTTATTCTAGGTGTACTGTTTCTTCTGTAGCTGTACTGTTTCTTTTTGGTCAGTGTCAATCTGTCACGTGTTTCGCATTTCCACTTAAGTTGTACATCCTGGCAAGTGAACATTTTCTCCCTGTGGTCAATGGGATAAATGACATTTTGTTTGGGAAACAAGAAGCAATCAGAATTGCCAATTAGTCTCTAGGCAAAGGGCAGTCTTCAAGAAGGGTAAATTTTAAATGAATCCCAGTAGATCTATTTATTACGGGTATCTTTAAATTGATGCCTTAAATGTTAGGAACCAGATTTTAGGAAAGGAATTTTTATACGAGAACTCCTGAGATCCTCACATGAGACCACACCTTCAACCAGGGGTCTGTTTTATGCTCACTTGTGTTTGCCATATTCCCGCGATGTAGTGTATCATCACAACCAGAAAAACTGTGGTC